GATATATATTCTATGATACGATACGTATCGGTTCGTATCCTTAAAAATATCGATACAAATCAATAAGACTTTATTAATTCGGGTCAAAGACCCCCACAAAAATTTCAGGTCAGGTTTAAATAGATCGGGTCGGATCTAGGTCATCCAACTCAGTTCACTAAAGCCCGTCCAAATTTATCCATTTTGCATGGAGAAAGTGAAGAGACAGAAGTGTTACTCATTTTGTATGATAATAATAATACAAATGGAGATATAGATATTGACATTGATCTTCGAAATAATATGAACGGTTGAGAGAAAATGATATAGATTCTTAATTTTGATTATATAATACCATAGTTTAAAGCCAATAATATTACAAAATTCGTTAATTAATCTTGGGGATGATATTAATTTTTAGAAAAAATTTATTATTATTTTTTGAAAAATACGTATTTTACGATACAATATGCGATATACGATTCGAAAAATTAAGTTTTCAATATACGATACGATACGTGATTTGATAACCATGACTAGAACAATATCTAAATTTTCGGGAAGGAGTAAGGTTATTTGAATATGTTGATGCTTGATTTTGACACCAACTATTCGCACATGCAAAGTGCTAAACGGACTTAAAAATTACACGTGAACTGAAAAATAAAGTAAATAAAAGGGAAACGATTTTTAAAGTGGTTCGAATGCTTAAAGCGAATCCTACATCCACTATCTTTTTATAAATGAAATATTACAATCAAGTTGCAAGTAGCGATCAGAGAAAACAGAAATACAGAGAGGGAGAGAGAGTATTTGTATTATTAGAATTAGAATCCCGAAAAATGAGAGGAGAACTTTCTATTTATAGTAAGAGGTTTCTGGGTAATAATTACGGGTCTACCAGTGGGCAGGTGTCGTACAGTTTCTATCCTACTTTTCATTGGCCAGTTGCACGAAAAATATCCTTAAATCAATAGGGCTTGGGCAGGTGGGTGACTCTCAACCACTCACTCGTCAGGCCTTTGCCTGCTAAGCTGATAACAGTCTACTCCTTCTGTCTTTGGACGACATGGCAACGCCTAGACGACATAATATCTTCCTAAACTCTTATTGGTCTTTGCTGATGTAAATATATGCTAACCCTGATTTTTTGGACATATCATAATACTACAATAAGACCACAATACAAATATCAATTATTGGTATTGGCCTTGATCTAAACAACGTTATAAATTATATAGTATGCGTAAAGAATATTGACCCATTTCAAAAAATAATAATAATAATAATAATAATAATAATAATTATCATATCGTACTTGTGGTCCATCCTATGTTCATTACCGACACAATATCTTTAGAAAATCCAACGAACATTCACAAACGTAAATAATACACGTTTCACTTTCAACATATGCTATGAAAACAATCTCACTTATTGTACTTCCATATATACAATCACTCTCTGACGTGGACCAATCACATTTTTAAAAAAATATAAATCTCGTTTACTGACAATGTTAATGTTAATCCTAATTTAACCATGAAATTTAATGTTTAAATTCATCCAAATGCTTGAATTAGAGATGGTAGTGTTCCCGTCAACAAACCACCATGGACTGCGTGATAGTAAAAAAGTAAATGAGGATCTAATATAGATTTTCAAATTTCGAATCCCTTTGATGATAAAAAACAAAGAGAGGATCTAACATGGTCTTCTAAATAAGAAGATCTAGTTAGAGTCTTCTTGAATCCTTGATGGTAAAAAAGAAAGAGGAAGATCTAACATGGTCTCCCAAGTTTGAGTCTCCATAACCCATAATAGAGGTGACCATTAGAGCTCTCACATAACCGGTAGTTTCAAGATCTTGGGGGATTAAATGAGGTTTATACAAGCTGTCCTGGACACCTGTAGTCATAAAAAAAGAAAATGTTCCCATTAACATAACCGCTAAAAGGAGTGACAATTGAAGCTTTTATCCGATCGGTAGTTTTAAGGTCCCAAGAGATTTGTTGAGGTACGTACAAACTGGTTCGAATACCCTAATCATTAAAAAAAAAAAAAAAAAAATTCCCATCAACATAACTAAATTCCAAAGTGATATATATATATATATAGAGAGAGAGAGAGAGAGAGAGAGAGAGAGAAATAGAATTGAATCCAGCTGAGGCCATACTGATTTCACATGACATAAAATTATCAACAGCTGTAATGCCATTGTACCCATATCCACATCTGTCTCCTACTCTTATCCTATCATTTTCGTCCATTATAATTATTAAATTAAATTACCATACTATATCATTTTATTTCTAACTCCGTGGCTTCCTCAAATGTTAATTTATTTTTCACTCAATCCTTGCTTACAATAGCGCTATCTTTCTATAATAAATTAATAATGAAGATTAGGTAAAGACTCATGCCTAATTATATTATATTTAGTTTAGAATACTTGGTTACAAAATCATAATGGGCCATCTTATATCTAATTTTCAAAGCATCTTTTCATATCATTTAACTTTTTTGAGTCCTATTACTTAATTGTTTTGCTGTTGGTACTTGGGTTTATTTAGAAATATTATATTTTGGGAAATTATAAAGTTAAAGACTATATAAGTTAGTAGTCCTTACACGGGGACACCTCCATTTTTTTTTTAATTTGACTCAATACTACGTATTAAGTGCACTAAAAGATAAAATGTAGCGATTTTTAATTTTATATTTATTTACAAATTGAGGTTTAAAATTATAAATGCGATATTCAATATAAAGTTTTTCGATGCATGAGACTCAATTATTCAAATTAACCCAATTTAATGTAAAAAAAGATTTAAAAATGGCCAATAAAATATATTCTTGATAAAAGAAAGGACATGACAAACTATCTTCACTTTTTTGATACAAGTTGTTTTAAGTATAAGGAATGTAATTAAGGAAGGCCAAAATTCTCTACTTTGTTTTACATTGTATCAACTTTAATCTGATATTGACACGGCCTAGTTCTAGAATATATTCTTATGCCTGATCTTCTTCAAATACAGAACAATATTGGTGGTTTTGGAGTGTTTGGACGGCCAGAAAATAACCAAATTGTTCTTCTTTATCTCTTCATATGCCTTCCATAAATCCTCATGTAGGAAAAAAAAAAAAAAAAAAAAACAATTAATGAGCACATGTGACCGCCCTATGGCGAGCTACAACCAAACAAACCAAATTATTTATTTATGATTATTAAAAGATTATAAAACAAACTATAAATGTCAAAATAAATAAATTACTTATGATCATTATTCAATTAATTAATATTTAAAATAAAATAAAATAAATGGCCGACTTACACAATTGAATAGATTCTCCGGCGGTGACGTCGATGTCGTTGGCCCGATGATCCTGCCGGCCTAATTTAATTTTTTTTCAAATTTTCAAAATTTTATTTAAAATATTTAATTTTGAAATAATTATATTTTATTAAAATTTATATTTATTTCAATTTTATCTAATATACAATGCACCGAATACACCCTGAACATTATTCAAATAATAACACAGAATTGAAAATTCGAAAAGTAATATTATTATTTATATAAAGCTTGACTTATGAGTCAACATGAGCCAGTGGAGTTTAGGATTAAAGAGGTTTGAAAGTTACGATTCTAATTAATATATGCAGTAAGTAGAAATTTGGTCAGATTGTTGGAGATATCGAAGTAAAACATAAATATATAGCAGTTCACTTGCGTCCTACAATTTATTTTTTGCATTGGGCAGTGAGATTTGGCAGTTGATTTTTTTTTTTTTTTATAAATTAAAAAATATTATTAGAATTCGGTCATATGACTGGGTTTTATTCTTCCAATTTATATTATTAACATTTTAATGTACGACATATTTTAGGAAGGATAACTTAATAATAATATCATATTAAGGATAAATATAAATATAAAAAAAATATTATTGTGGCTAAAATTACAAAGAAATAGACAGAATAATACTATAAATATATAATTGATTTATTATAAAAGCATTATATGTAAATAAAGGAAGTTCTAACGTCACATCTAAGATCTAACTCTCAGTGGGCTCAACTCGTGGCAGCATTCAGACTCATTTATTAGAATAAATATAATGTAAAAATATTACTCTTATTCAATATTTCAATTGATATTTATTACCTTACTAAATCGGATAAAATAAAAATATTATTTATGGTAAATAAGCAGATCATAAATACATTTCAATCCCAACATTTACCCGCCAAAACAGATGGAATTAATGTTTAGTCAATGATTCAAAGTCTCTATGAAGTATAGTAAAAAATTTAAATTTAGATTAAATTTCTTTTCAAAATATGCATTTAATATTTGGACATCTAATTTTTTTTTTTCTTAAAAGTGAAAGGGTAAAAAGGGGATTTCTCATACAAGTCACCCATTAAAGGAAAATATAATGATTCACGATATAGAAAATGAACATTATTAAAAATATATACACTGTTTTTTTACAAAAAAGTGTCCAATTTATCTTATAATACATTCGTATGTAATTGAGATATTATAACTTAATTTACTGATATCATGTACAAGACATTATAATGCGAGCTCATACATAATTAACTACTTTTAAGTAGTTTGACGGTTCGTTTGAGACTCTTAGATGTATTATTAAAGAGGTTTTGAATTCGAATCCTTACAACTATTGATAATGAAAGGTAAACACTAGAGGTTTACTCGACTATAAACTTGAAAAACTAATTGAGTAAATAAATATAAAAATTTAAATCACGGTATCTAGACTTGGTAACAAACATTTAAAAGTAGTTTTTCTTATTTAAGAAATCACCCAATAAATGAATTACTTCAAAAATACTCGTATAAATTCTCAATTCTCATACCAAACGGCGGTTACAAATACAAATACGAATAATGTACTTGGCTTTCTCGTCTCTATCTCTTCTGTTGGATTTCACTTTCATTACTTAACGCATTTGGGTTCATTCTCACCTTGACTCTAAACCATTTCAATAACGCAATCCCAATAATGACTCCGTCATCTTCACCTTTTGTCACTAACCACTTCTCCTTCTTCAGTCTCAAATATTTTATTTCTATTTTGTCTTCTTTCTTCTTCTTCTTCATTTATTGCTCAGTGCTTAGCTTTGTTTTGTTCAAGAGAGACGTTTTGGCTTGCAACTAACAAACTTTTCTTGGGAACTTGAGAATTCGTTCATGGTTTCATCATTGTTGAATGGCTTTGCCTTTGTCTTTCTCTCTCTCTCTTTGTGTGAGTGGGTTTGACTCTCAAACTTTGTTTTTTCTCGAGAAAATTTCAGCTTTTTGAGAGTTGAACCGACAATTCTCCCTTTTGGAAACAACCCACTTCAGTTTTCATCCTATATGGATAAATATTAATATACGAGGCGTTACTTCCTTGCTTTCACGAGGTTCTCGTTCATGAGAAGTTTTTGAAGGTGGGAATATACAGAGAAAGTTATGAAGAGCTTGAAGACGTTTAAAGTTTGAAAGTTTCTCAGATTTCTGGTAAATTTCTGCATTCTCAAGTTGTTGTTATTATTATTATTATTATTTTGGTTGAATTTTCTACTGTCTTGTGAATCTTCAATTTACTGTTGTTTTTCTTGCTTTTTATTGCTGATGGAATAATGGTTTATTAAAATAATAGTAAAAGAAACCTGAAAGTTGTATTTGGTTTGAAATTATGACATTCTAATCTAAAAAGCAACTCTCTTTTTGAGAGTTTACTTCATTTAAATTTTTATTATATAAAAATTTCTTATTAGAATAGTATTCATTTACCCTTATCTTGAATAGGGAATTATGCAGAGAGGTCTCTGTTTTGACGATATTTTTGATGAATTTTAGGAAACATATTTACTATCTTTGATGGGTTTATGATGATAATATGATTTATAATTATTTTCATAATTTTAGGAAGATCTATGATGAATCTGATGCATATATTTTAATATTTGTGTTTTTTTTATTACTTACTACCACTAAACATATTAAATTCTCTAAACCAAATGCAAAGCAATGGAATGAGTGACTTCAAAGTACAGTTAAAGTCCCTTTTCTTTGGTATAATAATTTACTAATCCACCAGGGCCACAATCCACAGCTAAAAACAAAGATTGACGTTTGAACATCCTTTTTTAAACAGATCAATTTTTATTATATGGTTAATTTATCCTTTTTACAATATTGTATTGCTAAATCATAGTTTATTATGAATGGTGAATAGTTTATGATTATATTTGAATGTTCTTCTTTTCAGCTGTTTTAAGGATGCTATAGCGAATACCAATAATGGAGTTTATAATTATAGTCTAGTGGATTCTTAAATCTCCATCTTGTACCTCAGTTTTTACAATATGGCCAGAACATTAGTGCGATCCTTGCGAGTCTTGGCAGTGTTGTGTTTCATTGCTTCTATTTTCCCGCCATCCATGTCATTGACTGTTGAAACTGAAGCGCTTATTCAGTTCAAAAGCCAGCTAAAAGATCCCTTAGGGATTCTGGATTCGTGGAAAGATTCTGCGGATTCTCCTTGCCAATTCTCAGGAATTACTTGTGATCCGGTTACTGAGAAAGTCACAGAAATTTCACTTGATAACAAGTCTTTATCTGGTGAGATTTCACCTTCCATTTCGGTACTTGATAGTCTTACCAAGCTTTGGTTACCTTCAAATCATATTTCTGGGAAGCTTCCTTCGGAACTAGGCAATTGTAGCAATCTCAAAGTGTTGAATGTGACGGGAAATTATATGTTCGGAGTCATCCCAGATCTTTCTATGTTGAAAAACTTAGAGATTTTAGATTTGTCATCAAACGGCTTTAGAGGTAGATTCCCTAGTTGGGTGGCTAATTTAACAGGACTGGTTTTGCTCGGTGTTGGCTCAAATAATTATGATGAGGGTGAAATTCCTGCTACTATTGGGAACTTAAAGAACTTGACTTGGCTCTTTTTGGCTGACTGCAATTTGAAGGGTGAAATTCCAGAATCTGTTTTTGAACTGAAGGAGTTGGATACACTGGATATATCTGTAAACGCAATTTCTGGGACAATCTCAAGATCAGTTTCCAATTTGCGGCAACTTTCCAAGATTGAGGCATTTGGGAACAATTTGACTGGGGAAATCCCACGGGAGCTTGCCGAGCTCAATCTTTTGCGGGAAATTGATATATCTAACAACCAGATGTCGGGGGAATTGCCTGAGGGGTTTGGGAATCTGAAGAATCTGACAGTTTTTCAATGCTATAAGAATAACTTTTATGGAAAATTGCCCTCTGGATTTGGGGATATGCAGCATCTTATTGGTTTCTCAATTTATGAAAACAGTTTTTCTGGGGAATTCCCAGCAAGTTTTGGTCGATATTCACCACTTGAGAGTATTGACATATCTGAGAATCAATTTTCGGGTAGTTTTCCCAAATTTTTATGTGAAGGGAGGAAGTTGCAGGCCTTGCTTGCCCTGAACAATAATTTTTCTGGAGAGGTGTCAGATTCCTATGGCGAGTGCAAAACTCTTGAGAGGTTGAGAATTAATAAGAATCGGTTGTCTGGGAAGGTTCCTGATGGTCTCTGGGCACTGCCGAAAGCGAAAATGATTGATTTTGGCGACAATAACTTTATTGGAGGGATATCCCCAAATATTAGCTTTTCCACTAGCTTGAGTCAGTTGATTTTGCAAAACAATAGGTTCTCAGGGGCGCTTCCTTCGGGACTTGGCAAGTTATCAAACTTGGAGAGACTCATCTTGCATAAGAATAATTTCTCTGGTGAAATACCTTCTGAAATTGGTGCTTTAAAGCAGTTATCATTCTTGCATTTGGAAGATAATTCATTAACAGGATCAATACCAATGGAATTGGGTTACTGTACTAAACTGGTGGACTTGAATCTTGCTCGGAATCTATTGAGTGGTAACATTCCGAGTACATTTTCACAACTGAACTCCTTGAACGCGCTGAATCTTTCTGAAAACAAACTCACCGGTTTGATTCCAGATTCATTCAGGAGATTGAAGCTAAGTTCTATTGATATGTCTGAGAACCAGTTGTCAGGAAGTGTTCCTTCTTATCTTTTAAGGATGGGCGGAGACAAAGCCTTTATTGGTAATAAAGGACTCTGCCTGGACCAAAGTACTAAAACCCTTATGAATTCAGGTCTGGATGTTTGCCCCAGAAAGCATAGTCAGAAAAAGTTTAAAAATACATGGGTTCTGTTCTGTATCATAGCAGCTGCCTTGGTGGTTGTTCTAGCTGGATTACTGCTTGTGAGTTATAAAAACTTCATGCTCGAAGCTGATATGCAGAATGATTTGGATGAGGAGAAAGAAGTAGATCCAAAATGGAAACTTGCCTCTTTCCACCAGATGGATATTGATGCTGATGAAATATGTAATCTAGATGAAGACAATCTAATTGGAATTGGTGGTACGGGAAAAGTTTATCGCCTGGATTTGAAGAAAAATGGTGGTACGGTTGCTGTAAAACAACTATGGAAAAGTGATGGTGTGAAGGTTTTAGCAGCAGAAATGGGGATCTTGGGCAAAATCAGGCACAGAAATATACTGAAGCTTTATGCTTGTCTAGTGAAAGGAGGATCGAATTTTCTGGTGTTTGAGTACATGGCAAATGGTAATCTGTTTGAAGCCCTTCACAGAAAGGTAAAAGGTGGACAACTAGAACTTGACTGGTGTCAGAGGTACAAAATTGCTCTAGGAGCTGCAAAGGGAATTGCGTATCTGCACCATGATTGCTCTCCTCCTATTATTCACAGAGATATAAAATCAAGCAACATTTTACTCGACAAAGATCATGAGCCAAAAATTGCTGATTTTGGGGTTGCAAAAATTGCAGACAAGTCTTGTAAGGGTTCTGAATATAGCTGCTTTGCCGGAACACACGGTTACATTGCGCCTGGTGAGTTTCAAAACTTATTTAATGTGCAGTTCTTCTCCCCTGCCGCCTGTGGTGCTCTGTTTATGTATTATTGATAAAATGATATCTGTAGTTTACATTTGTGATTTCTCAATGACATTTTTCTGTTGAGAGAATTGGCGATATACGATTTATTAGGATCCTGCCATTTAAAAACTGCTCTTTTGATCTTTCTGCCTTATCCATATTATCTCCATGATATATATCTGCATCTAACTTCTTAGAATTTACACTCAGTTTTTTATTTTCTGATTTCACAAAGTTTTGAGCTATTCATAACATATGGGCCTCCCAATTTTGCTTTGGCAGAGATGGCATATACTTATAAAGTCACCGAAAAGAGCGATGTATATAGTTTTGGTGTGGTGCTACTAGAATTGGTTACTGGAAGAAGACCAATCGAGGACGAGTATGGAGATGGAAGAGATATAGTTTACTGGGTTTCAATACATCTCAATAACCGTGAAAACGTCCTCAAGGTCCTGGACAATGAAGTTGCATCTGAATCTATCCAAGAGGACATGATTAAGGTCTTGAAGATTGGTGTTCTATGCACTAGCAAGCTCCCAAGTCTTCGCCCTTCCATGAGAGAAGTTATCAAGATGCTTTGCGATGCTGATCCTGGCATTTTCAAGTCTCCAGAAAGTGGTTTGGAAAAATCTGGGAAGATCATTCTGTAGTTAAATCTCTGGTAGTGGTAGCTAATAGCTTATCTTTGAGTGTTTTGAATTCTCATGCAATTGTTAGTTTCTTCTACATGCTGCCCAAGAATTTGGTGAATATATTTTAATACTTGCTGTATTTACTTATGAAGCTTTTGCTGTACCATCACATGAAATGGATTTTGATTTTTGATATATATATATTAAAAATGTGATGTTTGCTATTGTAAAATACATTTTGACTAATTTTATTTAGATGCTTAGATCCTCGTCGTATATTTCCTTTCTTATTTGCTCTTATTCAATGGTAATTCCAGGCTTCGTGCATTCGGATGTCCATTATAGAGGTGTCAAATGAGTCGAGTTTTGTCATATTGGATTGATCTTAATTAAAATTCACAATCTTCCAATTGTTATATTAGAATTTGGTAAGAAAATCTCGCAACACAGCAGAAAGCTAAGGATTAACATTTTTGAACATAAACTTTCTGGTTTTGGATTTCTTGGCTGGTCTGATTATGAACAATATGAATGAATAAGTGTGAATTAAGCAAAATTATTAACACGTTTAATCATAAGAACACGGCGTTTTCTTCCAATCCAAGTCGACATCCATGGCGGATCACCTGAAACAACTTCGTAACCAGATTTCGAATACAATTTCCGAGCACCATAATCTTCTTCATAAGCTCTGAGGGCAAGATATTTGAAGCCCCATACAATGGCAAGCATGTCACAGGCTTTTAATAAAACACTGCCTATTTTCCTTCTCCTGCAAGTAAACAAAATCAACCTGTAAATAAAAGACAGAAACAGTACAAAATGTTGCAGGAGAATGTGAAATTACCTGAAAGTTTTGGAAACAGCAAGGCCAGATACGTAAAGGTATTCTTCAGCTCCATGGAGACGTTGAAGAACATCTTCATCTCTTAATACTGTCACATCCACAACTCCTACAAGTTTGTTTTGCGATTTTATGGCTTCATTGTTGGGTTCAGCTACCAAACATGCATACCTGTTAGTTAATCAAGTTTATCAACGATTAAAAAAATCAACATTTACATAGTTGCCACAGTAATTGCATTTTGATGATCAATTTTTACCTGTTTGGATGTGAGTTCCTGAGTTTGTAAAGAAGTCCAGAGAGAACTTCTGCCTGTATTTATTGTAAAAAGAAATCTCTAAGCTTATGAAAACAATATAAAGAAAGAGGGAGAAGGAGGAGACTAACCTTAAAGAATTCAAAGAAAACATCATCAAAGAAAAGAACTGGGATGTGAAAAGCTTCAGCTTGAATTGCAGCAACTTTTCTCATTTCATCATCTTCCTTAGCTAATCTCCTGGCTTTCCAACCAAACTCACTCACCAAATACTCAAACTCCTCACTATTATTGCTATTCTCTCTGCCTTCAACTACTTCTCTACCACCAAGTAATTCAGCTTGCTTTGATGAAGAAGAAGTGCTTGTAGTACTGCAACATTGCACCATTTGAAGACTCCTTCCCCAGCTTTCTGCTTTTCCAAAAGCGCTTCTACTCCTGAAATAATTTGCACACCTCAAAGTGGCTGAGCTTGAAGGGTAGCTGAGTAGCAATTGAGCCATTACTTATTGCTAGAATTCAGAAACTACATGATTTGTGTTGTTGATATGATTTTGTTCTTGGTTTAAACTGTTGGGATATTGTATTTAAATTAGGGGAAAATATTTTTACACCCCTTATATAGTTTGAGTTAATGTCAATGATATCCGTATAATTTTAGAGAGGGTAAGGTATTTAATAATATTATATATATAAAGTTGAAATCTCGATCATGTATTTCTAATGATATGGTTGGTAAAATGTTGTTACCACGTTAATTGTAAGTTAATATGATAAAAGTTTATTGGTACATTTTTTAATTTCTAATTTTGTATATGTATCATGATGCTAATACATTTATACAAAATCTATTATACTGTCGATTTTAAGTTAAATTTGATACCACAATGATAGAGAATTTTTGAATTATTTAAGAACATAAAGGGTATTCTTGGCATTAATTTAATAAACTATACTGAATTAAATAAATATTTCTAAAGTATTGGGAAGAAAACATAAAAATGAGGTGAAGAACAAAAGAAGGGCAGAAGGGAAGGGATAAGATTTAGGTGCGAGTGGCCGAAAGGACTTATTTGATTTGAGCCGTTAAAATAGATGCCACGTGGGTTTATGGTGACCAAACACGTGGACTTCTAATGAATTAGTGGCTAAATTTCTTTTGTAGATATGAACTAGGGGCCCACCTCAGAAACGCTTTGGAATGAAGTAAGATTTTGATTTATTGTATTATTTTTTCTTAGTGACATTTATAATATAGAATCTATAATTATGTTATGTAAATTCTTAAATAAATTTTTTTATCATAAATTTCAAAAATATTTATAAGAAAATAATTTTTTTTTTTGAGATTTCTAAAATAAGAATAAGTCCCCAATTTCAAAATATTTATAATAAAATAAAAATAAATATCTTTGAGATTTATGAAATAAGAATAAGTCCCCTATCTATTAAATTGTTAATGAACTATTAAAAATTAAAATATTATATTTTAAGAATATTTATTTGATTTGTCTCAAATGCCATGAAGATTTTTATAATTTAATTAAATCTCAAGGGAAGATATTATTATTGACTCTTATTTTTCTCAATTTTGTTTCTAATAGATTATTTATTACAAAAATAAAACTACTAAAAAGGCTATTGTACGCTATAGCTTAGACTGGCCCTTAAAGAAAAAACAAATGGTCTCCTATTTTGAAGAAATTTGTCAAAATTCATGAAACTAATTTCTAATTTTGTTAATTTATACACTAAATGCATTAGTCATTTATAAATGTTCATATTATTTTTGAGATATATTGTTCTTTCAATGTTTTTTTCATAAGTTATAATTGTGTAATATTATTATTTGTAGGTTGTTTATACATGCAGTGGATTATTCCACAATTCCTATTGGACATTTAAGGCGGCAGGGTACTATAAAAACACCCCTTGCCTTTGCAAATTGTGCACTCGAGTCAAAGAATAGAAAAGAAAAGCCACAATTTTAAGTCCTATAAATTTGTTTAATTTCAGTTTAGTCCCTCACTTTACATTTCTTGCGATTGTAACATGTTATTAATACAACAAAGCTTGGTAAACATTCTAACTCATGTTTCATTACATGTTATCATATATGGCTATCCTTGTGATTATGCTCTATGGTTGGCCCAAATGACTTGCACCCACCCATAGTTTGATGTAAAGACAATTTGGTACCCAAAACATTTGGAAATGACAAACACCCACTTTCCGTTAATATTTGTTTGTTAAGTTTAACTGAAGAAAGGTAGGATAGTAAATTCAAAAACAAGTAAAGGGTAATTATGTCATTTTACCCCTTTCTTCTTCAGTTAAACTCACAATTTTACTTCTTCCACCTTTCTTCTTCAAAGCTACCACTGCTAGCATTCTTGTTGGCTTTCTTTCCTTTTTCCTTAACCTTTTCGGTTGATCTCACCTCCAATCACCATCCTCCCCCATCCCGAGCTGGATTTGACCCATTTTTGGCTGAAATTTCCTCTTTCTCTTGACCCATGTGTCTTGTTCCCTTCATCAAAATTTGAGTGGCTCTTCATGCAAAGAAGCTGTAAACAACCTTTAAACAGTTTGGCCTTTCCCTCAAGCAAAGGATTTTGGCTTTTTTGTAAGAATAATAGACAACAAATCTACCCATTGCCCATCCTTGTTAGTTGTCGCATACTAGCAACTAAACATTCCTTCCTTCTAAGCAGCAATGCCCCCAAAATTTGAAATTAAATTGGCTACTAAAAATTGGACACATAAGTACAGAGTGTGGTCCCTATGTTTCTTCCATACTTTTCCCAACAAGGATTAGGATCTCTTAAGTGTATAACATTCCAAATTCTTAACAATGTGTGGTTTTTAAGTGAAGTTTCCTTTGACTTTAACTTGACCGCCGAACTAAGCTAGAACTAGTCGGATTCCTTTGCCGATGGACACTACCCTCTCTCCCATCTGAATCCCCATATCACCTTCTCCAAAACCCATGCCCCTCTCACCTTGGTGCACCCTCAAATTGCCGACCAATAGCCATTGCACTTTTGTGCATTTTCTCAGCTTTCCAACTAGATCTCGATCGATTCTGACACCCAAAACCACCCTTATCACCACCGTTCGACTCCCCATCCTGTCTCTTCAAAACCCATCCCTCTACTGGCTTTCCCCACTTGTTGTTTGCAGCCTGTGACCAGTATTTTCCATGGTGAGACAGTCGCGTTTTGTGGCCTTTTCTTTCGTGTTTTGTTGGTGTTTTGGTGTTTGATTGGTGGGTTGCTGTTTAGAAGTGTTTGTGGTGTTTTTTTTCTACTCGTTGATCGCTCTCCCATCACTCCAACCTTGCTGCTTCATCGTCGCGCACCACCTATTTGACCTTTTGTCGCATCTAGCTCCCAGTCTGCCCAACAACCAACTGTTGGAGTCTGGGTTTGTTGGTGACTGATTGTAAGATTTCCCCAGCCATTTCCCCATCGCCGGTGACCAAAATTTTTCTAGTTTTGGAAACATCCACCACTTGTTGTCCTTAAAAAGACAGAATTCACTAATAGAACCTGATGGAAAGTGGGTGTTTGTCATTTCCAAACGTTTTGGGTACCAAATTGTTTTTACGGCAAACTATTGGTGGGTGCATGTCATTCAACCTTATGGTTGCCAATAAATTGAATATTCCATCTTAGAAAATAAGGCCGGTTTCTTTGTTATTATTTTTGTACTACTATCTATAAAATATCAATCGAAGATCGAAGATGTCCAATATCACAAGCCTACAATTTAAAGCACTTGCTCAAAAAGATGAATATGCCAACTTCCTATAGGAAAAATAAGTTGCATAGCACCTCAAATCTGTGAATCTAGAAGACGCCATTAAAAAAATAATCAAGCTTCTATACAAGACAAGTCCAAGGCTCTAGGTTTCTCTACCACCATTTGGATGAAAGCTTAAAAACTAAATACATTACAGTTGAAGACCCACTAATTTTGTAGAAGAGTTTGGATGAAAGATTCTTATATAGGCTAAAGCAATCCGAAAGAATATGGTACAATCGCCTCAACAAGTACTTGATAAAATAAGGATCCATTAATGATATCATTTGTCCTTGCATTTCATAAAGAAGTCAAATTCCGGATTTGCCATCATTGCAGTATATGTTGATGACATGAATCTTATTGGGACTCTTGAAGAGCTCTTAATTGCCATTGAATATTTAAATAGAGAATTTGATATGAAGGAGTTCGAGAAGACAGAATATTGTCTCAAATTTCAGATTGACTATAGTTCAAAAGGAATACTTATCCATTAATCAACCTACACCAAAAAGATTTGAAGCATTTCAACATGGATAAGACTCACCCATTGAGTATGCCCATGGTTGTTCAATCTCCCAATCCAAACATGACCTATTTTATCCCAAAGAAGATGATAAAAAGATACTAGGTCCTGAAGTGTCATATCTTAATGCAATAGATGTTTTGTTATACTTAGCACAATGTACAAGACTGGACATAGCATTTGCAATCAATCCATTAGAGAGATTTAGCTTTGAGCTAACCCTATGACATTGGAACAAAATCAAACACATCTTCCACAACCTCCGTGGAACAACATACCTAGAATTTTTCTATTCCAATATGTTTGGTAATAATCCAAGATTGGTTGGCGATGCAGATGTTGGGTACTGTATAGGCCAAAAATCGTATTAGGCTTGACGAGGTCCAATAACGAAACAAACACTTTACGGCCTAGTGCCTTAGCCCAACTCCGGTTGGATCTATGCTTAAATCCACCTTGTGAACTGCCCACTCTATGAGTTGGGCTATCCTACAAGTTAAGTTAAATCGGGCTCTAACCCATTAGCCCATAGCAATCCACAAATAGGAACAAGAATCTTATTACCTTCCTAATTCACTCAAGATCTAGTATCTTACATGAATTAATATTCTTGAGCCGATAAAGACAACAAATAAGAGTTTGTTCCTAATTGAGATTCATCTACTAAGTAGGACTCAAAGTCCTACTAGGATTCCAATCCTTTGGGTTCACTATATAAACAGGGGCAAACCTTCTCAATATTCGTTCAGAAATAACCCGCAACATCTAACTCTAAATGTTCTTGCTCCCAAGAACCACTGCATTATTCTAGTAATCTTTCCCATCCTCAACCCTTACTAAATTCCTTCAGCCTCGCTAACTTGAGCGTTGGAGTGTCTATGGCTGACACCACACCAGTGTTTATCTAGTTTTCACGTTCTTGTTTTTTCTCTGTGCAGGTCCATTAGGTTGTTAGTGGCTCTACTCTCACAAGATTAGTATATTCCGAATCGATAGTAGATTTTATTGTCTACAGATACCTCTCTGATCCCCACAAATCATGCTCATAAACAAGATATGTTTTTACTCATAATGGCATAGTGATTTCATGATGATCCATAAAAGAAACTTTGGTTTCTATTTCCTCTAATCATTATGAGGTTCTTGCACTTCATGAAGCCAACTGAGAATGTGTATGGCTACGGTTTATCGTCCATCATATCCAAAGTACATGCAGACTTTCTTCCATCACAAAACACTACTATTGTTATAGATGAATATAATGTAGTCTACAATAGGGCTATTCAAAT